TATGCAATCAAAACCTAAAATTTGGAAGCAAACCCGAATGCAATAAACTATATATGAAATAGTCGGAATCATCGTACGAGGACCGGGGCAAAACAATTGGAAAGAAACGGGTCAAAAGCATCAATATCTACGTTACGGATATATAAAAACTGACTTTTATTGGAAGATATTTTTTGAAATATTTCTATTGTAAGTTGTATATTATCTCTTTACGAACGCGTGAGCGAAATCCACGTCAAAAATGGAGGTCCGAGCGAAAAGTTATGCAATTTTTAGTGATTAGTGGTCAAACCGAGTTTTCAGCCGAGTCAACTCAGCCCCAACTCGTAAAAGTCGGTTATACATGTTATTTACCTTCTTTTTCACCCAAAACAGACTCTCATCTCCAAAACTTACTACCGGGGGTGATTTTAGCTTCATAGGGGTGAATCAAGGTTGTTTCAAGGGGGTTTTGCTTGATTTTTATGCCAAATTCATCCTCCAATTAAGGTATAACTATTTCATTGGTTAATCTCTTGATTTGAAGCTAGTTAGAGATGACATCAATGAAACCTAATCTGAGTTATATTAGTAATATGTTATATTTAGATTGGTTATATCCTAACTAAGTTGTTATGATGCTTGATTGATGATTTGGAGCTTTCGAAAATAAAGAACATATGTTGAACTTTGATTTTCTTCATTAATGGCTATTTTGGTGAAATTCTTGAGTATTGATCTTGTAATCAATAATATAAACATGGTTATGATATTTGGTTGATTTTTGCAAGTTGTTCTACGATTATTATTGCAATTTTAGATATATAAATGATGTTTACAAGTTGATTTACGATTATTTTTGCAATTTTAGATATATAAATGATGTTGATATATTTTTGCAATTTTAGATATGTTGACTTACAAGGAGGAACATTTATTCGTAACTCTATTATTTTGGTATTTAAGACGAAAAATGAATTCTTCAACAAGAATCGAGAGGGTATGAGATCACACTTCAGCTATGAGTGGACATGCATACATACAAGAGTTGCTACATGGATCTAGTTTGCAATTTCAGGAGTTGATTTGTATGCCTCGTGAAGCATATGCATTACTATACGATCACTTTAAACAAAGGGGTTGGGTAAAAGATGGTAGATTTGTAAGTGTCGAGGAGAAAGTAGTTATGTTTTTAACAATGATCGGACATAACAAACGTTATAGAGTGATCAAACGAAGATTTCAACATTCCATCGACACTGTCCATAGTTGTTTTCATGAAGTTCTATGATGAATGATGAAGTTCGCGAGAGAAATTGTCTGTCCGATAAGCTTTGTTTTTATAGTTTTTTAATAGTTAAGTACAAATATTTAGCATTTTTTCATAAATGAATAGTGCAATTGGTGCACTAGACGGCACACTCATACATGCAGTTGTGCCTGTTAGTCATCAAACTACATATATAGGAGGTGGTTGATGCTACCAAAATGTTCTAGGCATTTATGATTTCAATATGATATTCACATTTGTTTGGGTTGGATGGGAAGACATTGCAATGATTCTAGAGTGCTAACTGAAGTTGCATTTAACCCCAAGTTCTGGTTTTCCTTTTCCACCTGAAGGTATACATCATTTTACTTATATCGAACATGTTTAATTTGAAATTAGTTGTGTACTCGCGCAATGCAGCGGGAGCCATGAATTTTAACGATTTTGAAGTTTCACTGGTTTTATAAGTAATATTTAACGATGATATAAGTTACACTTGGTCTTTACATATTAATACAATTTGAATAAATAAGAGTTATGGTTTCAATTACAGACTATCGATGGAAAAAAGTGTATGACAATTTAAAATTCAATATATTTAAAATCCAACATATTTAAACAACTCCACAAATGTGTTCGATTTACACCAAAGTTTAAAATCCAACATATTTAAACAACTCCACAAATGTGTTCGATTTACACCAAGAGCAAAGAACCAAGAAACTTGAGTTTTAAGATAAACACTCAAAACCAATAAAGAAAACTACAAATTTGACAGATCATAAGCCATGAAAAGACCAAAAAATATGGGTTTTAGAATGAAATTTCAACTGTTTGCCCTCTTTCTTGTCCAGAAACTCATATTAAGGTTGAATTAATACATGTATATATATATTTCGAAAAAACCCAAGAACATATTAATTCAGAACATATTATACAATGCAATTTGGACAGCCTAACCCCAAAATATATAGTATATATATAAATAAATAACTATAAAAGTATAAATCATAAATCATAAATATTAAAAATATTTTTTCACAGTATATATAATATATAATAATATAATTAAGTCAAAAACTATTCAATATTGGACTCATTTCGAAGGTATTAACAAGACGATTATAATAGTGTAACTTGTTAAAATAAAAATGTATTTTTTAAACATGTTTTAATTGATATACGATTATGTATGTTAATTTGATAAAGGTTTAAATTGAAACATTTAAAAGTAAAGGACGTAAAGTAAATTAATTAACTAATTATAAGGGTATAAAGTGTAAATTTAAAATTATAATTTAAAAAAATGGGGGTGAGTGTATGTGAGAGAGGAGAGAGTGAAAAAGTGAAAAGGTAACCTAAGGGTAGTATAAAGGGTATTTTGGTCATTTAGTATTTTAAGACTTTAAGAGGCTGTATGTTTGGCTCTTAATGGTGACATTAAAAGCCAACCTCTTAATCGGTAAGAGATAAGGTTTGTTTGGCAAAAAAAACAAGCCTCTTAATGGTTACACAAGCCTTTTAACCATTTTGAGTCTAGGGGTTCACTAAACCATTCAGATTACATTTGTTCCCTCTTTACCCTTCCACACCCTCTTCCAGCCGTCCACTCATCGCTACCTTCACGAGAACTCGTTGCGTTGCACAGGTTCTCCGGTTGTCGCTCGACCGTCTCCATCGCCGGCGACCTCCACCGTCTCCATCGCCGGCAACCTCCACCGTCTCCATCGCCGACAACCTCCACCGTCTCTATCGTTGGTCGCCTTCCACAGCTTCGATTGTCGCCTCCATCATGTATCTTCTGTCTCCCCTATTTCAAGTATCTTTCGTTTGGGATGATTTTGGTCGCCGGTCGCCAGTCCCTAAACAGTAGCATAGCTTCGATTTCAAGTATATTTGCATGATTTTCGATATATTACTTTCAACTTGACTTATTAGAAATCGAAATGGTTTTGAGAAAAACAGAGGAACATTGCTATTTAGATGTAGATCAACTCACTGCTTTCTTCAATTTTTAAGGAAATCCATGTTCACCTCTTCTTGTATAGAAATGAGAGCAAGAATTTACTTATTTAGGCTTTTAGTTGTTAGGTTTTCTTTCTTCAATGTTTAGTTGTTAGGTAAATGCATAATGAAACAGTGATTATCACTAAAAATTTTAGAGAGCAACAAACTAGTTCAGGATCCCACAATTAAAAGGTTAAAAAAAAGAGGGTTAAAATGGTAATTTGTTTTCATTCAGAAAACAGTTACCAAACAACATTATTTCATTCAGCACTTAACCATTCTGACCCTCTTAACCATTCTGACCACTTAGCCATTCTGCACCAAACCATTCAGCAACCGCCAAACAGCCCCTAAGACTTTTGTTAAATTTGCTTAATAAGATAGTATAGATAATGTTTGCATGTTTGCCTAATCAATTGTTGCATGGTGATAAATATTATCGTTTTGATGTTGCATATTCCAACGCTCGTGGATTTTTAGCTTTGTATAGTAACACGAGGTATTGGTTAGCAGATTATCGATGCAGACGTGCTTTAACTAAAGAAGAAAAGTTTAATCATGCGCATGCACAACTTCGAAATGTCAATGAGCGTGCTTACGGTGTCTTGAAGCTAGATTCCCAATTTTGAAGCAAACGACTCCTTTTCCATTTACAAAACATAGAAATGTAGTCATTGCTTGCTTCATGATACACAACTTTATAAGCAAATATAATATTCAAGATCAACTTTTTATGGAGTACAATGAAGACACCATTTTCACCAATGAAGAAAATGTTGGAAGTGGAGAAGTGTATCTAGATAGATTACAATAGGATGTTGATAGCACACAATATATGACTAATCTGGGTGATCAAATTGCAAATTGACTAGTTTCAAATGTTTGATATTTTAAATTGTATCAAAAGTATGACGTTGACTTGTTTTTATTATAAGGATTTATTAATATTGTTTTGATTATAATATTTAACTCATATAATTATATTAATCAAGTTGTTTTTATTAAAAAAAACTTTTAAATTGATATTTTTTTTATAATCATAAGATTTATTCCAAATTTTCATCAAACTGTTATTTTATTTAGACAAAATAAAGATTAAAGGTAAAATGATCATTTTTAACATTCAGATTATTATTTAACACAACAATCAAATAACAATTTATTTATTAATATACAGATAATAATATCTATACAGGTTTTAATAAAAAACGAATGGAAGAGCACTAAATATCTTTCTATACATCGAAGACATGTCAAGAAGGCTTTTAAAAATTATCATTTTATTTAAAAGACAGAAAAAACAAGAAACAATTCAATACGATCGTCGCCTCTTTCCCCTTCCTTCGAAACAAATTCCAAAGAACCCTAGCAATCCACCCCCGTCCTTCCTCTCGCCTCCTCCCTCCGTCACATCTCCACCACGCTACGTCGCCTCTTCCCTTTTCTTCACCGGTTGTCCTTCGTCTCTATCACGCTTCTCTCCAACATCGTTCTCCAACTTGGTAAGTTCATTTGATTTTTAATTTGCTGTTTGATGTTAGATTTACTGAGTGTAGATCTAATGAAAGTTTGTTCACTGTTGACTGTTAATTTTACGGGTTTGATTGTTAATTTCAGTATTTCAATTTATGTTCAACTGTTTATTGTAATTTTATAGGAAGAAGCGAATATGATTGTATACTAGCTAACAGGTTCGATCGATAAAGCATGCCAACTGTCCTGGAACCTGCTCTACTCGAGCTTCTTCAAAACGTTAAAAACTTCTTTAAAACTAGCTTGGCTTGTTTAAATCTCAAACGAGCTGGAGTTTTGCCAGGCTAGATCCTACTTGGCGCAATTGGATTATAGACCTAATAAGCATGCAGGAATGAAATTGCTTGTCAAGCTTTATCATGCGTTTGTAGATTCATTAATGAATAAGGTCTTAATATTGATTTTAGATGGAATGTTTAAACAAATTGTGCATTTTTGGTGGTTACAGGATCATGTTCATGGCAAGCATCGGAACATCAATCGGAAATTGATTTACAGGTATATTGATTATTTTGACAATATACTGTGCTGCTAATAGTGTTCAAATGTTCATACACCTTCTAATGCACTTTGGTGCTATATTGCTTGATCATATTTAATATCATACCGTGCTGAGAAGTAATGTGTTTGTACACTTACAAATGCAGTTTGTTGCTATATTGCATTAAGAAACATGGACTCAGACTTGCATTCTCCTTCAAATAGTGCTGGAGCTAAAGCCGCATTTCATAAGCCTTCCAATGATCCTTCAAACAGAAAATATCGACGTAGGTCTCCAGTGAGCGGCTCTTCTTCATCCGATGGTTAGTTTTTTCTACTTGGAGTGTTACCATATATTCTAATTTTTGTCATGGATTCTGATAAGAAAGCGCTAGACGGGAAGTGGTGTTTCCAGTAGCGGACAGGTGAGTAACGCGTAAGAACCTGCCTTTAGGAAGGGAACAACAGCTGGAAACGGATGGACCATTAAGTAATCTAATATACTAACATCTCCTCAATAGCAAATTCAGGGAATTCAAAAATTGTAGTTGTTTCTGTTTTATGTCTTCGTGGGTTAACTGATCGTGTTGGTAACATGTTAGTTGGAGGCATGTGTTCGTTAAAAGTTAGCATGCCTTGGACCTGTCAGTTACCTTGTATATGTTAGTTTCTTGGATGATCTCATGTCAAGTTAATATAATTTTAGAAAATGTTAGTTGTAACTTCACTAATTATACCCCTTGTTTCTTTAAGAAATAGGGGTTCCCGGATAAGTTGAGTAGGTCAAGAGTATCATGGTGTATATATCAATTACATGGATTTTTCCCCCATTTTGCACATGAATGGAGTAAGCATTGAGAGTAATTGGCGTTGCTTTGGTCATTATTGAGATAAAGACTTGATTCAGTTTGTAGGTATTATTAAATGGTCAATATATTGTGCTTCGTACCCATCTAGAAGCTAATGGTGCCTATGGGAACTTTTTTGTTTGTTCACAGTGATGTTTGAGGGAATTGCTTGGTGGTTTAAAAGTCTAGTTACTTTTTTGTATTTTGAGTTATATTAATCAAGTTGTCGTGGCAAAATTTCTCTCATGACTTGGTTTATGAATATGGTTGTAATCTTAGATGAATCATTTGATGCCTATACTCTCAAGTCTCGACAAAACGACAATGTTTGAAGCAGAATTTGTATAAACCAAACAAAAGCAACCTAACCAAGCCCAGCATATCCCACCTGGAGGTGGGGTATGGGGAGAATGAGACGTACACGTAGCTGCCCGCTACTCCAAAGAGTAGAGCGGCTGTTTCCGTGAAGACCCCTGGCTTGTGCAGAGTGTGCGGAGAGAACAAAGTGAGGATAAATCTAGCTCAAAGATTTTGAGGAAAAGGAACATAAGAAGAACAAGAAAGTAAGCGACAAAAATTAAGTAGACACACAAACAAAATATACAGACAGAAGCATGTACAAGAAAAACATAACCAGGGTAGGAAGGACTTCACACCCTTAGTCTGACTTGGGATTCATGTGGTCTAACTTGCTTGGGGCTGAAGTTGGCTATTGGAATTTAACTTGTTATAATGTTATGAGAATTTTTTTAACATGTTGCTGCTATAATTTTTCTTTACACAAGCGACTCTAAAAAGCTTGTCGTGACTCGTGTGTCTGTTCATTAATTAATCAAGATGGACTTCCCTAGTACCCTGAATATGTATTGATAGATGTCAAGGTTTTTCTACTCCACTTGTGCAATTTTTTCATACGGAGTATAAATGTTGTTGTTATTATTATTATTGTTATCAATAATTGCATAAGTTCTTGTTGTTTTAGAAGGTTAATTATAGTCATCATCTCATTTGTGTGAAGTCATGGATGCATTTGGAGATTCAATGTATGCTACATTGAGTGCTCAGATACCAGCCAATAACATGGTTTGACTTGCAGGGGAGCCTGTTCGTGAGCGTAGTTCTACCCCTGCCCGTTCCTGGGATGACAATGCTAAACACAACGATAACCGCCAAAGGAAGGATGACAGGAGGGACATTGATAGGGATCAGAAAAGAAGCCGTTACAGCAGGGATGGTGGTTCTAACAGAAATGCTGATCGAAGATCTTATAATGATCGTAGGCATGATGATTATAAAAGACGTGAAAAGTATGCAGAGGAAGATCAGAAGAACTTCCATAAGTCATCCCCACGTACAAAGAGTGGCAGTGGCAGTCATGGCAGCTATAGTGATCATGCTAGAAGAGAATTTGAGCAAAACAGATCAAGAGATAATGTCGATAAGCACTCCCGAGATAGATCAGATGGTTCAGGACATAGAAGTAGGGACAGGGATAGAGAGGCCTCATCGCTTGAGTATCAGAAGAAGTATAAGGATTCATCATCTGACAGAGGTGGATCTGGTAAGAGGCAGACCAACTTCAAAGCAGAAGAAGTCAGGTCTGGGGAAGGGGATAAGCATAAAAAGGATGATGCCAGGGAGGAAAAAAGAGACTACCCAAGGACTTTGAAGGATGGGAAAAGTGAATCCTTATCTACCCATGAGGAGCCCAGGGGCCATCGATCTGGACATCATCATAAAGACACTTCCTGGAGGGATTCTAAGGAGCTGGATGACCCCAAATACACAAGGGATGGGAAGGGAAAGTCTTATGATCAGGAGCCTAGGGGACTAAAGGACCGACATTTTAAGGAACCTAGAGAGCTGCTTGATGATAAAAAAGTTTTAGCTACAAAGAAGTCAAAGTTTAGCATGGATAAAGATACCGAGTATAGCAAGGATGGTAGTTCCTGTTACTAACTTCTTAATTGTTTCCTTAATTTTAAGCATTCCATAATCACCTCTCTTTTTTAATTATGAATTCTTTAATATAGCTATAAAGCATGCAACTATATCCAATGAAGTCCAGTCTTCAAGTTTAAAACAAGGTCAGAACTTTGTTGGTAAAGCTAATGCAGAGCAAGACTGTGTGAAAGAGTCTGATATAGATGCTGCAAAAATAGCTGCAATGAAGGCTGCAGAACTAGGTATGTTTTTGTTGTGAAATATGATATTTTGCAAAGTTCTAGAATGAAGCTCATACCTTACTCCATGAAACTGCTGACAGCAGCAGCTGCTGTCGTTATTACTTATGATTATCTACGCTCCTAGATTTAAGGATTGTTACCTCCTGTGTCTTGCAATTTATGTGTTACCTCATAAAGCTTGTTCAGGCTGCTGTTGCTGCTGCTTTGACTAGTTTCCCGGAAATACTGTACTACTTAATACCAGAATGCTTTCACTTGCTTTTCTTGTTATTTGGAGAAAGAGAAGTGAGTTGCGGTTCTTAGGTCAATTTTGAAGTTCTACAAATCTGAGAAGAAATTAGTCAACTATGCCTTTTGTTTTTGGGTTTGTTCTAAAATTCACCGAATATTACTCTGTTTTGCAATGATAGACAACTCCAATTGGGTAAGTTCAAAGCCTCTGCAAATGTGATTGGAAAACCAAGATCTGTGCAAACCAATTTGTAAAAGGTGTTTCTGGATTTGCAACTTTTACCTTTATTCCTCCTGCCATTTTACACCTCTGTTCTAGTTTTTGGTAGGGAGATCAACTTGATTGAAAAAGTTCAAGAGCTTTGTGTGTCTAAAAGAGTGGCACATCGGAAAGGTGGGAACCAATTTTTTAAAAGAGTGTCTAAAAGAGTGGCACAATACATCGTACCATACGTCTTCGAGATGCACACCTTTCAAAGCTTTATATGGCTGAGACCCTCCGAAACTATGCCGAACTCTACTTGGGAGTACTGGGGTATCTTTCCTTGAGGAACAACTGCTGTATCGGGATGCAATACTCGATAAACTACGTGCTTACCTGCTTCGAGCTCAGCAACTCATGAAACAAGTGGCTGATAAGTCTCGAAGGGAGGTTGAATTCAAAGTGGGTGATATGGTTTACCTCAAGCTTTGGCCGTATAGGCAAAAGTCGATGGCAAGAAGGCCTTTTTGTAAGCTAGCCTCTCGTTACTATAGACAATTTTGCATTATAGAGCGAATTGGTAAGGTGGCGTATAAGTTGCAATTTCCAAAGATGGCTCGCATCCACCCCGTTTTCTATATGTTACAGCTGAAGGAAGCTGTAGGAGATCAGAACGTGTCCTCAACCTTGCCTCCTCAATTGACTGAGGATGTGGAGTTAGAAGTAATACCTGAAACCCTGTTAGATGTTCGTTCGAGTTGCGCATGATTAACATTTCGCTTCAACTTGAGGAGGAGTGTTAAATATAGCTAAGTTTAGTTTACCTTTCTATAGAGTAGTATTAGTATTTCCCTGTTTAGGTTTCTTGATCTTATATAATATATATTGTAATCTCCTTTAGAAAGAAAACACACAACAATTACCAGATTTGAGTAATAACAGTTCACAACAGTATATGAGCTCAACTAATTTGGATAGGCCTTTTAGTTGAGGAGTAGCCAAGGAAACACCTCTTGAGATGTTTTAGTCAACTTGGAATTTGGATGCAGTGCTTAGACCATGTGGAGTTCTATGAGGATATTACAAAAGGTATGGGTGAGCAAGATTTAAATGGTGAAATAGTTAAAAGAGATTGTGCATTTGGAATTTGCCAGAGGACTTGTTTTTAAACAAGTGTTCGTGGAAGGATGATTTTCATGACTGTTTGTGCCCGGGGCTGTTGGGTGGGTGCAACAGTAGACCTATTTTTTCTGTTTATATTCGTTTCCATTTTCAGATACTCTATAACTAGTTTGAGAATAAAGGCTTGTTACGGGGAACAAACATAGATATCGTGTCTTTTGTGAAAGTTTTATGATCAAAGTGATTTTATTTTTAAGGATAATTGTTGATGACATCTGAATTACTTTAAGTAGTTGGGCTATAAACCTTGCTGCTATCTAATTATGTTCTCATTGCAGGCGTTCGTTTGCATCACAATAATTTAGTTTATCCAAGTGATCACGGTAGCACATAGCTTGGACTTTGAACTGGGATTTATTATTATTATTATTATATTTGTTAATTTTACTATATGCCAGAAGGCAATCAATTTAAACAATTGTGTGAGAAGGTTATCCTCCTAAATAATCCGTGTATGTCCTATTTGCTGGCTAGTATCTTGCTTGATTGGTTGGTACCAACTATAAGGGAGAACTTTAGTCTTGGCATGTGCTCTCCTTTTTGTAAAAATATAGTATTTTAGCTGTGTACACTTGGGGCTTAAGGCCTAGTAGGAAATTAATATAATCCAATAGGGGTCTTCATTAAAGGTGTATTCTTATAATTTTTGTGAATCTTATAGTTTTATGATTCATAATTCTTTTTTTTCCTTCCAATTTTTGTTTGTTGAACAGTGAATAGAAACCTGATTGGAACCGGGTTTATGTCAACTGACCAAAAGAAGAAGCTGTTATGGGGGAGTAAAAAGAGCACCGCTACTGAAGAGGTATCTTTCGGATATGCTACTCTCTGATTACATGTTTGCTTTATATCTTTCCCGGATGCTAGAATTCAGACATTTGACATTATTATCATCCAACATAAGTTGTATTCTGATTGTCTTTTTGTATGTTATTTCTTACTCTTACCAGCTTTTCAAAATTTTATCATATATGACTCTCTTTCACACACTTTACCCACCCTAGACCCCGCTTGCTTTGGTTTGGTTTGGTTTGGTTTAGAAGTTGTATTCTGATCTGGAAGAGTACTGAATCAATTAAGGATAGTGATCTATATGCATTCATGTTCTTTGTAAAACACTATAAACCGCTTGTAATTCAACAAATAAAACAAAAAGAGTTTAGAGACACGAGAAAGACAGGGAAAAAGAAAAAGATGGTCTTATTGATCCTTATATTTTCTTGTGCTTGCTTTTGTTTGTATGTTGGTGCTTATTCATAACTAGCGTTTTAAAACTTATAGTATCTGCCTTTCTTGTCACATATTCTTACATCTTCAAAGTCTTTTCTTTACATTTCCTCAAACTTTTAAGATGTACCAGGGTTTTCACGGTAACCACCACTCCACTATTTTGGGGTAGAGGTTAGATCTGCGTACGTTCATTTGGTTTGCTCAAAGGTAAGTTTGGTTTTTTGGTTGCCTGGTGCAGGCTGCTCATCGGTGGGATACATCCATGTTCTCTGATCGTGAACGACAAGAGAAGTTTAACAAACTCATGGTAATTTTCCATCACCCGTATTTTAGGGAGTTGGAGTTTTTTGATGATACTAACACATGTTTTAGAGTCTGAGGTTGCATTGGTACCTATTATGGCCAATTGTAGGGTGTGAAAGGGGTGGAGCAGAAACCAGAGGTGACCCAGAACACCAATCTTGCCGAAAAGCAGAAAGAGCTTCAGATGGACTTGGAGAAGCAGTACACGGCAGGCCTTCGTCGCAGAGATGGGCGAACTGTTGGTTTAGGGCTTTGAAGATGATTAGGTATCGAAACGAGTATCAGAGTCTGTTGTACTTATGCACCTGTCACATGTTTTATGCGATTAAACTATGTTACCGTTTGAAGATTCTGATTCTAATGACAACGTTAAAGAAAAGGTACCGCGTTAGCCGGCCGGATGATGTATTTGGTTGCATTTTCTTCTTCTCAGTGATTGGTCTTGACGTGGAGAGATTCAATCTCCCTTTTATTTAAAAAAAAAAAATCAATGGTCATGATTAGTTCATAAAGTTAACACAATGATTAAGGTTAACAAATGAACGTACACCTGTATATATATATATATATATATATATATATATATATATATATATATATGATTTAATCATTTGATAACTCCAAATTTTGAGATCCATTCTAAACCACATATTTTAATTGATTTATTGTATTTCATTAATTACTGAGATCCATTCTAAACCATATATTTTAATTGATTTATTGTATTTCATTAATTACTGTATTTTTTTGTTGATCGAATGGGTATACGGTGATGACAAGTGTGTTATCCATGTCTCGAAACCCATTTGTCAGTTTGAAATTATGTAAATGTTTGTGATTCATCTTGAATATGATTTATAAAGTTTAATGAATGTTCCTTGGTTTTGTATGAATCTGATAAAATCAATAGAGCACAAGGTGTTGATAATGTTGCTTCACATGGTGTTTCATAACCCAATAATGTACACGGTGTGTAATCATATGATGTCTACAAAGCGTTTTACAGCAAGTGTTCACAATGTTTATAAAACATGTGTAAGTTATGTGTTTGCAAAACATCCATTGTAAAATGGTAGGTTTAGTTTTATGGATGTTCACAATATATGTGGAGAGTCTTCACAAGGTTTAGTTTCATGGTGTTCACAATATATGTGTAGAGTATTCACATGACGTTCTCTAAGGTTGTAACAAAATATACACTAAAAAGTGGTAGGTTTAATTTTATGGATTAGTTAATTAGTGTTCACAAAAGTTTAGTGTTCGATGTGATGTTGGTGGCCGAAGGTGTTTGGCGATAAAGGAGAGAGGAGGGATGAAATTTACAAATATCTATAATGCCCTTCATTTAATTTTGTAATTCAAAATTACCAAAATTACTAAATTCCTTATTTAATATATTTAGTGGCTTAAAATGGACCTCACAGTTCATACAAATTGTCAAGTTCTTAAAATAAGACCCTATATATATGTATATATTATACCATATATAAATTATATTATATAATATTTATTTATTTTTAAAAGAAAATTAGTAGAAACATAAAAAGATTAAAATGCCCCTCACACTAACGAACTCTCTTAATGGGGGAGTGCTAATGACACCCCCTTAATAGGGAGTGTTGATTGCTTGGAAATTGTGCATTTCCAAAACATCAAATCGATTTAATAATATATTATATTTAATAATCATTGTTATTTAATATATATATATATATATATATATATTAAGTTATATATATGATATTTTTTTATTTATAAAATTATTATAATTTTATTATCTTCACTTA